GGTCTGCGGGCGGGGCTGCACCAAGGCCGACACTATCTTGGCTCTTCAAAGAGGCATGAAAGGTCTCCGCTGTCTCCTCGGAGAGCAGCCAGGCCGGGGCTCTCTAATCTCGGAGCGCAAAGAGCTGAAGGTCGGGGAGGAGGGAGCGGCTCCCACCTTCCCCAGCTCCCCTCCGCTCCCTGATGCCGCTAGCGGCAGCACCTCGCTGGGTTTTCCCTGGTTCAATCCAGGCCAGAGGGAAAGCGGAGCTGGCCAGACCCTGGGCCTTTGGTGGTTGAGCGGCTGGGAGAGCCCCGCTTGCTCAGATTTCACCCTCCTAAGCAACTTTTAGCGTTTGCACGAGAGCTCGGGGCATGCAGCGAGCCTGCCCCGTGCATGTGTGTTGGAGGTGTGGGAGGAGAGAGGCTCTGGCTCTCTCCCGGTGGCCTGAAGAGCCAGCTGGAGGAAGGAGGCAAGAGGAAAATAAAGGCAGCCCGGTTGTCGGGCCCACACGTCTTCTCCCAGGCCTGCGGGAGCAGCTCCGAGGCGTGTGTGCGTGCGTGCGTGGAGGGGCGGTGTGCGTGCTACACAGCCTCTGTCTGTGTACGTGGAGATCTTGCGTGGGTGCGACCGGGAGGGATTCGTGCCCTGGGGTACACCGCAAATCCCTGCTCTGACAGAAAAATCTGAGGTGGCCTTTGCACCCCCCTGCGTGTGCTGGGGGCTGGCGGGGGGTGCTTTGCAGGAGAGGCCAAGCCCTGGTGCACGGTGAGCAGGGCCAACGTGCAACAACGTAAGTGAGGTTTTGCATCCTATCTATGCATTTCCTTATCACTCTGCCGGTCCCAAGCATCCCCAGGGGCCCAGACCCATCCGGCCTGCCAGCCGCCCCGCACCCTGCAGGATTCATCCCGCTCCTTCCTCCCTTTCCCCCGGCGCCACAGCCTCCGCTCCGTCTCCAGCCCTTCGGAAGGGAACACCCCACCGTGGCCGCACTATGTTTATCCGAAATAAAATGCAGAGGGCTGGTTTACTTTGGCAGGTTTGCCGTAAATACTGGCTGGAGCACGGGGGGCGTCTGGTGAGCGGTGATTACACGCTTCTTCCGAGGGAAACTCTTCCCCGCCCTGTGCAGGCCCTTCCTCAGCCCAGCAAAAGGTGTCAGTAAATGGGGGCCGTGTTGACACAGCTCCGTCCCAGAGTGGCACTGCAGGCCGCAAGTGTAACAAAGCGGGTCCCCGA